ATTAGCGTAGAGCTTATTAACTAAAGTGTTTTATATAATTACTACTAGCTCTAGAGTAGTTAGAACACTTATCTAGATAGAAGTAGCTATTTTAGCGTTAGAGTTAACGTTAGCTTAAATTTCTCTGCTTAAAGTATAGAATTTAAACTAGATAAACTACTTAGACTAATATACTAAGTTAGTAAGTATAAAAGCTTTTATAGAGATTATTATAAAGTTACTTATTATAAGTAATAGAGTAGTGCTTCTATAGAAGCGTAAAGATTAGTAATAGAATTAGTATTACTATACTCTATTAAACGTCTTACATCTTAAGTATATAAATATAGAACTATATTATCTTCTTAAAGCACTAAGCTTATAACTATTACGTCTAGAAGTATAGAAATAAATAGAAGATAAATTATTATATTATAAGCTTACTTAGAAAGCTTTCTTAAGTAGTAAAGCTTCTAAGAGCTTATCTTAATCTATACTAGTATAATTACGTGCTATACTCTTAAAGAGCATCTAGAGGTATATTCTATAATATTTACTCTTTAGCTTAAATCTTAAAGTATAACTAATCTCTTTAAAATAGTATTATAATATTATTATTCTAAATAATAATATAGATATTAAGCTTATATTAAGCTATAAGAAAGCTTAAAAAATTATAAAAGACTTTTATAATCTTAATAAGTATTTTAGCTTAAAGAGTATACTAATAGATTTTACTACTATAATTATCTTTAAGTAGTATAATCTAAAGCTCTCTATTATAGTCTATAGAAAAATTAAAAAGATTCTATAATATTTACTAATAAAGTCTTAGAGCTTTCTTATATAGTTATCTAGAGATATACTATTTTATATAAGTAATAGTATAATACTTATACTTACTTTAGCTTATTTTTTTAATATATATATTATATATATTCTTAATAAAAGCTTATAGCGCTTCTAGATCTAGATAGTCTACTTTTATATACTAAAGCTTCTTTAAATTAAACTAAAAAAAGCTTTTTTAGAATTATTATAAGTATTAGTTATTAGTTATACTTATTATAGTTAGATAAAACTTTAAAAAATTATATATAATAAATATAAGCTTATACTTTTTCTTAAGCTTTACTAGTATAAAGTTATTAGAGAGTATTTCTATATAAAGTATTAAGTCTAGTCTAAGATACTATAGTCTAGCTTTATTAAAAGCTACTTCTAAAACTATATTAATATAGAATTCTTTTATAAGCGCTATATTTATTAGAATAAAGTTTTTTATATATAGTTTTCTTTTTCTAGTTAAAGTATTTTTAATTCTTTATATACTATATTCTAGTATCTAGAAGAAAAAGCTTTCTACTTCTATAGTATAGAATTTATATACTCTTATAAAAGTCTTAAACTTAAGTAGAAATATATTATTAATAAAATATACTACTATTCTATTATCTAAGATAGTACTTATAAAAAGTAAATAGATATTAAAATCTATAGTTAAGTATATACTACTAATACTTAGCTAACTTATAATAAAAGTAAAGTTAATAAGTATTATCTAAATTAATTCTAGATAGATAGAGCTTAGACTCTTAATCTATTCTTACTATAAAGTAGTCTAACTCTTCTTATTAAGAGCTCTTCTTAGACTATTATACTTTAAATTCTTAAGCTTAGTAATAATCTTAGTCTTAGCTTTAGTAGAAAGCTTTAGAGATTTTCTTATAAGTACTATTTCTAAGCACTTATATATAGTAGTAGACTACTTATAGTACTATCTATATAGATAATTCTTTTTAGACTTCTAAGCTAAGTTATTATTACTAGAAGCTTATTACTATACTTCTATAATAGTAAATATACTACCTCTACTAGTAGAGTAAGTAGTATACTTTTAGGTTAGTGTAGTAAAAATCTTTAATACTTATTTAAGAGTAATTTATATTCTACTAATAGTAAAAGCTTTAATAAAGTTCTACTATATAAAGTATCTCTATTCTAAAGAAAGTCTAACACTAATTACTTTTAAATAGTTCTAGACTATAAGTATATTATTAACTTTAGTAAGTTTATATACTTTAGCTTAGACTAAAATATAAAAGTACTTCTATTACTAGTACTTAGCGTTAATATATTTTTATTATACTTTCTAGAGATATACTCTATACTATAAGTATATAAAATTCTTAGTATAGTTCTCTTCTAGAGAAAGTGTAGACTTAAGGTATTTAATAAGTATTTATAATATAGCTTCTTTTTCTATAGAAATAGAAAGTATAGTAGAAGTAAAAAGCTTTAGACTAATAGTCTAATTAATCTAGTTCTAAAGATATCTAATATAAGTACTCTTTAACTACTATTCTATTACTTCTATATTATACTTTATAATAAATAAGTTATACTTATTAATATAAAGCTTATTAACTAAAGTATTCTATATAATTACTACTAGCTCTAAAGCTATTAGAATACTTATCTAGATAGAGGTAGCTATATTAGTGTTAGAGTTAATATTAGTCTAAACTTTTCTACTTAGAGTATAGAATTTAAACTATATAAACTACTTAGGCTAATACACTAAGTTAGTAAGTATAAATACTTCTATAAAGATTATTATAAAGTTACTTATTATAAGTAATAAAAAAGTACTTCTTAGAGAAGTATAAAGATTAGTAATAGAATTAGAATTACTATACTTTATTAAACGCCTTATATCTTAAGTATATAAATATAGAACTATATTATCTTCTTAAAGTACTAGACTTATAACTATTATATCTAGAAGTATAGAGATAAATAAAAGATAAATTATTATATTATAAGCTTACTTAGAAAGCTCTTTTAAGTAGTAAAGCTTCTAAAAGCTTATCTTAATCTATACTAGTATAATTATATAAAATACTCTATAAGAGTATCTAGAGATATATTCTATAATATATAATATTAGTTTTATAGATTACTAGCTAGTTTTATTACTTTTTACTAAATTATCTTAAATTTTAACTAAAATACTTAATAACTATACTATACTATACTAAGTTAGCTTATTTCTACTTTTAGTTAGATACTTTTACTACTTAGCTACTATTATATAATATTAGTTTTATAGATTACTAGCTAGTTTTATAGATTACTACTAGATTTTCTTAGATTTTAACTAAAATACTTAATAACTATACTAAACTATAATAGGTTAGTAATTTTTTTTTAACTATTTAGTAGATAATAGTATTAAATTACTATATTACTAACTAGATTTATAGATTACTAGCTAGTTTTATAGATTACTAAGATTAGTAGATTATTTAAGGTAATCTACTATAGATTAGATTTTATAAATATATATAGTAGTATATTTACTACCTATTTATATAAGAGCTATTTTATCTAGAATTAGATACTAAAATTAGTATAGTTTTTAAATAGCTTTACTTAGTTTTTAAGCTTTAAATAGATTCTTAGTTTTTTATATTCTTTAATTAAGCTCTTTAGTTCTTAGATTAGAATACTTAGTTCTTAAATCTTACTTTTAGTTCTTAAACTAGTATACTTAGTTCTTAAACTAGTATACTTAGTTCTTAAACTAGTATACTTAGTTCTTAAATTAATATACTTAGTTCTTAGATAACTATACTTAGTTTCTAAACTAAACTTATTACGTATAGGCTATTCTACGCTTAGTTTCTACTAGATATTATATATTCTAATATAGTTAGCACTAAAACTAGTAATTATTTAATAGAAGTACTAGATATTATATAGTAAGTCTATTTATTATATAATAGATATAAGCGTATTTATATAAAAAAGTAGATAGAAAAGTAGCTAGTTAGAAAAATAGTATATATAGACTTAGTATTCTTAATATACTATAAAATATCTATATAGTCTACTTAGAGTTATATATAAACTTTAATCTCTAATATTAGTATAACTCTAATAACTATATATAATAGTATATAAAGTAAAGTAAGTATTAAAAAATAAGTATATATAATTATAATACTATTATTAAAATCTTAAGATATATTTTAATAGTTATATACTAATAATTATAGTTATTAAAAATAGAAAAATATAGTAGATAGCTAATATAAACGCTAGTAATTTATTAGTAAGAGTAAAGAATTCTTCTCTAATTCTAAACTACTATAAAGTAAGTTTTAATCTAATAAAGTTAATTTCTAGATTATTAAACTATATTTAAATAAGTAAAAGTTTACTACTAATAGTATTAAGTATAATTTAATACTTATTTAGACTATAATTAACTACTATACTTTAGATTCTTAAGTCTAGACTCTACTAGAGTATACTAATTATAGTAGATTTAATAGAATTAGTTTTAATAAAGTAGATTAATTCTTTTACTACTCTAGAAAGTATATTAAATATAAAAGATAGTTATAACTATATTATTATAGATATATAATTACTTAGCTCTTAGATATATAGCTAGAGATTTTATTTTAACTTTCTTTAGTAGTATAATAATTATAATATACTTAAATATTTTTAATTATTAATTATCTCTAACTCTAATAATAAATTTATATACTAAAAAACTATACTATATTAAGTTTATAAATATATATATTTAGACTATATATTCTTTACTCTTTTTTAATATATAAATACTTAATACTTTTTTAATTTATATATTTCTTATAAATTATATAGCTATTCTATTTATATATATATAAATAAAATTTCTAAGTATAAATTTATTAAAGATAAAATAGTTTATTCTTCTATAAAGAAAATAGTAAAGTAGAAAAAATAATAATACTAAGACTTTTTATTAATTTAGGTTAATAGAAAGTCTTAGTAAAAAGTATAGACTTTTATCTTTTTTACTTATCTTAGTAACTACTTAATCTTTTAAGCTAATATTTTAAATACTATAATATTCTTAAAAAAAATAAAAAAGTTACTATTCTTTCTAAAACCTAACCCTAAAGTCTATACTATATTCTAATATTGTACGTAATATTATCTTACACGTAATAGAGTTAACTCTAATAGAAGGCGTAATTACAAAAGAGCCTCTGCGCGTTGCGAAAGAAGATACCCGTACGCTCGGCATCGTCCACGAACCGCGACGTCTCAATCCCTACCAGCGAAGGCGCATACGTGAAGATTGGCGCGTACGGGTAATCTGTACCAAACAAGAGCTGCGATGCCGGTATGTCGTACGCGAGAAGGCCACCGACCTGGTGGAAGTACGTTAGGCCCGCGGAATCCCAGTAGAAGCGTGTCTGCAAAGCCTCGAGGGTGCTGTCGTAGATCGCGGGGAACGACTTCAACAGGCGGTCCGCGACAGACGGGAATGCGCCGCCGACGTGCGGGATGATGTAGTTGATGTTGGTGAAGTTGAGGATTGTCTGCGTGACGGCGAGGTCTTGGAGTACGCGCGCGGTTTCGAAGTAAAATTCTATGTTGCCGGTTGGATACGTTGTTGGGTTTGCTTCGATGAGTGAGCCGTTGATGCGTAAGTACGGGGTCGTTGGGTGAACGTATATGATCTGGTCGGCCCCGCGCGCATTCATAGCTTGGAAGAAGGGCGTGAAGGCCGGGTCACCAAGGTATCGACCTTCGAAGTTGGAGTAGAGCGCGATACCGGTGGCTCCAAGCGCGTCCAGAGCATATATGGCTTCGGCGATGGCATCCTGGGTATATGGCAGTGGCACGACGGCGTAAAACGAGAAGTGCCTGGGGTAGACTCGCGCGTACGCTGCGGACTGCTCGTTGATCAGCCGAGCAAGCGCATTGGTCGCTTCTCGATTGCCAGGATACACGTTTGCGCCGGGCGAGGAGAATGCCACAACCGCGTGCGAGATGCCTTGGCTCGTCATGAAGTTAAGATGCCCGCTGACGTTCCAGAAGGGGGTTGGATTCCCGCCGGCTGTCGGGGCGATTGCGCGATACCAGTCGGGAACGCAATGCGCTATGAAGCTTCATCAGGTCGATTACCACATGGTGGTGGGAAAGGCTTACCGTGCACATCGACGATGGTGGTGACATTGGAGCTGTTGCGCTGTAGCAGCTCTTGCACCTGGTCACCGAGGTACGTCGACGCGATGCTGTCAAGAGCGGAACTGAGGTTGAAGCCAGGTATTGCCTCGAGATCGATGAAGTCTGGACACGAAGGGTCAGTACGTTGCGAAGTCGTCTGCAGGTGCGTCGCGAATACCAGCGGTGGCGCGTTCCTGGATGGACTGGACGATCTCGTCATGCGCTGGCCACCCGTGGGCACAGGCGGAGAAGAAAGTCGTCCACGTCAAGGCGACGAGCGATCCCGTCAACGTCTTCATCTCAGCGCAGTGGGAGACGAAAGTCTCGTTGCAGAAGCAGGCATGCGTGGCACGCCTACTTATGTAATGCGCATCGCTACAACAGGGTATGCGAGCAATAGATTGAACGAGGAAAGTCTCCAAAGGCCTCATGGTCCTTGACCCATTAGCGACACCGCGCCAGCGATGCGTAAGCAACGCCACTGCACGTCAGCACGGGAGCGGGTAAAGAGGCGGCTGAGGCCATATTCAGATCGCAAGACCGGGCCATGAGTTCGATCGACCGGTATACTTCTGTGCGACTGGGTATTCTCTGGTCTGTAGTTAAGATGCGCATACCGAGCCTCTCAATTGAAAGACCTGACACAAGGAGATGATGACGTTGAAGGCATGATGAGAGAGCGCAACGAAAAGAGTAATCAATGGATGGTACAGATCGCTGGCTGGTCCGCATGCACGACACGCTCCCGCGAGAGGCGTTATGTGGCTATTCGGGGTCGGGATTGGTGTTTGTGGGATAGTTGGAGGAGCGCGTCCGCCCTCGGGATGTGGGCACGAAGCGGGCGCACTAGCGTGGCATCTAGACCCTTCAGGATCTCTGAGCTCGCTGACCACACCGCGCGCGACCGTGAATGTGATCTCGTCATGCGCATCGCTAACACATGTTTGCTTGGACTATCAGCTTCAGAGAGCCGTCGGTTGTTACTACAGCTTTCGTGCGCTCACCATGGAGGATGTACCAGCTCATCCTCCACATGAATGCGCATGTTGGGATTAGAGTCCAACTAACATTCTTACCTTTCCGGCCCGTTCTGCCTACTCGAACAGAACCTTCCCATACTTATTCACAATCCTCACCCCATCCATCTTCCCATCAACCTCCATCTCCCCCACTACACCATCCTCATCCCACGCAAAGTCCACAACCCCACCACCTCTCAACCGCAACCCCTTCACACCTCCCCCACCCCAACTCTTCGGTATCGCCGGCCCCAAAACCACAGTCCTCTCCCTCAAATCACCCGCAGCCAACGGCATATCCGCGACAAGCATACTCAACACCGCGCCTCCAAACCCAAAGTTCGCGTCGATTTGGAACGGCACCCTATCCCCATCATACATACTCAGCCCATTCCCCGCGAAGTTCTGCTCAATCGCATATCTGAGCTCGTAGTACGCTTCGTCCGTTTCGTTGAGACGAGCCCAGCAAGCGGAACGCCAGACTTTCGCCCATCCCGCATTCGCCTGGTTGAGGGCCTCACCGTTGCCGTTACCACGACTGTACAGTATCTGACGAACGGCGTCCTGGACTGCGGTGTCGGTGTAGCCGTCGAGGAAGGAGGAGATTGAGTAGCCGGGGTGCCAGCCGACCAGTTCGGAAAGGTGGCGGTGGGTGTCGTTGATGAATTCTAGGCCGTAGGGTTCCTCGGGTAGCTTCCACTCTTTGATCTGGCCCCAGGTACCGATTGCGAAGCCTTTGTCAAGCCGTTGGAGGGAGTCGGTGATGTTGGTGACGAACGCGCTGTCGGTCTCGTTGACGGTGCGGGCAGTGGAAAGTATGGCGTCGAAGACTTGGTGGATGAGTTGCTGGTAGTGCGCGCATCCGAATGTTGTAGGGCCATGCTCAGGGCTGTTGCATGGGTTCACGACCAGCGAGCCGTCATTGTTGAACCGATCTTCTTGCAGCTGACTGAGCCAGAATTCGGCAACACCTTTCATTAGCGGGTAGCCCTGATCACGCAACCAGGCTTCGTCGCGCGAGTAGTCCCAATGGTCGAAGACATGCTGCATCATCCAAGCTGCAGAAAGCGGATAATTCGCCCACTCCGCTCCGCTCTTCATGCCCGTGTGGCCGAAGATGTTCATCTCGTTGTGAACCACCCAACCAGGTGCGCCATATAGCAGCTCGGCGGTCTCACTGCCGCGTGGGACCCAGTTGTTCGACATGTAATCCCATAGTGGTGATTGGAGATCAGTCAAACCCGTCTGGTCGGCGGTCCAGTGGTTCATCTGGATGTTGATGTTGGAATGGTAGTCTGCCGACCAAGCGGGTTCGAGGCTTTCGGCCCATCGTCCTTGAAGGTTCGGGGGAAGAGAACCCGGTCGCGAGCTGGCGATGAAGAGATATCGTGAATAGTCGAAGAGAAGGCTTTCGAGGTATGGGTCGCCGGCTGTGATGTTGGCGTTGTAACGTGCGACGAGCTCGGATGTGGGTACTTGAGATGAGTTGGAAGGATCGGGAAGAGATAGCGTGAAGCGGTCAGTGAGAGAAGTGAGGTCCTCCATGTGACGCCCTTGTAGATCCGACAAAGGTCTGGCGGCGGCGGCGAGAGTCGTGGACTCAACGACCGGGCCTGGATCTTCGCCACGGAAGGAGTAATCGTACTCCGCTGTTCCCTTCCTTGCGTCGTAGTTCGTTTCAGCGCCGACTACTATCGTGACGCTGCTCGTACCGTTGCGCGGGGAGACCATCAAAGACTTGGCTTCACCATCACATACAACTTCGATACCGGTGTCGTATGCAACTCGTGCCATCACGTCGTATCGCATACCTTCAGGTGGGCCAAGCTGCGTCAGGGCGCTCATTCTGAGATGTCCTGGACTCGTCGCATTACCGCCGGCGCATGTAATATTGCGCAACTCTGGCTCAATGGGTGCATTGTCCAGTCTCACATCCAGCGCTGGCAGCCCACCTGACGAGCGAACCGAATAGACGCAGACTTGATCTGGAAACGAGCAAAACGCTTCCGTGTCGATAAGGCTGCCGTTCACGCTGAATGTCGTAGTGTGGACGCCATTGCTCAGATTTAATGTCCGCATATAGTCGGTAACATCGGCACCTGCTAATGACGGGATGGTCACACTCAAGTTTCCTAGCACTTGGTACGAGCCATACGAAGCGTCTAAGCCCAGCAGTTCCGTCACGTTTCCCGTTCCATTGGTGAAGATCCAGTCGCGGATGCCCGGTAATGCTGCTGCTTTGGAAGAGGTCGGGTTACCACCCGTGTAATTCTATCTGATGTGTTAGGTTGATTGTCAGGATAGCGTTAGCATAGCTTACCGATGCATTGAAAGGACCTCCTGACCACAGTGTATCCAGGTTCAAGGTGAGCGTCTCAGCACCGGGTGGGCCAATTGGCATGGCACCAAGACGTCCATTTCCGAGAGGATAGGTGGTACGGATGATGTCGCTACCATTCGCGGGGACAGTGGACCATAGTGGTTTCGCATTTGACAAATCAATCAACCCACAGGTCGCTAGAAGCGATCCAATCTGGAATTTCCGCATTATCGGTGTTGACGAATTAGTTCGAAGCGGCCTTGATCGAGATGGCAATACGGGCGCCGCTATGGTTTTATTGTATGCCAGCGATCCATGTGACGTTGTGCAGCGGGCTTAGATCTTTTCCAGGGTTAGTTGCGGGGAAGTGTAGTATGTACGGATGGCGATCGCTATAAAGATCCTCCGTGAACAACGTTCACGCAGCTGTTCTTCCGGTGGGATATCTGGGATGTCCATCCAGGACTAGCAAGTACCGCGCAAAAGAGGCCGAGCATTAGAGCCAGCATCATTGGTCGCTGATAGGTCAATTAAGTCGGGTCCAAATTCCGCATCAGCTATGACCGAAGAACGTGGATAACACGGTGGAGGAATCGATATTTCGTCAACATCTTTGCGTTGTTCGAATATCTACGCCTCAGGTTGATCGAAGCATGTAAGGTCAGTATACCCAGCTGGGAGACGAGCAGCTTCGTGGAACGACTCTTCAGGTGAACTCGATGCTGAACCAATGGCGCGTCGCTGATACCCATAGCGAGTGTGACATCAATCGCCGTGAATTTCTCGGTGTGACCAGCACAGATGGACGCGGGATAGTCAAAGCGCGGTGTTGTCGCGATTGACTTTATCAGCGAGACTGGGTGTTGACTGCGAATGGGCGGCGGCGGGTGATGATGTCTTCGTCAGGGCAGGCAGCCAATCGGCGTTTGGATTGGCCGAGACGGCGCTAACATTCGCGGACCCTCATGTTACGATATGGCAGCAGCCCGCCAACACCAATTGCGACTTAACAGCCCAAGATGAGGACGCCGTACACCTGCCGACAGTGTCTCTCGGCCCTGAAGACGCCGCGGTCTCAATTACGGCCGTCGCAAAGCCTTCGCCCGCTCGCGCCCAAGGTGTCGTCGCAACGCAGTCACTCGACCAAAAGTGCAGCACCGCCAAAGCTTGCCCTGCCCAAGCGCAGCCTCTCGACGACGCCGGCCCGGGCTTTCGAGAAGCCGTTCGAGCCGTATGAATACATCGATCCCGAGGGCCATCGGCGGAAGCTGGTCCTGACCGAGGACAACCTCTTCAATTCCTTCTCCGGCTCGCCAATACCTGAAATACGGAAGCGTGCTGCTTTCATGCGCCAGCATGCTTACTGTCCGCATCCCTCGCATCAGCCGACGCGTCCGGCGAACAACCCAATGGACCTTGAGGCGCGCAAGTCCTCTGAGACCGGCGCCCCACCCGCCCATGTCGACTTCGAGTGCCCGGACTGTGGCATACCGGTGTACTGCTGCGAGGAACATTGGGCGGACGACTACGAGGCGCATCTGGAAGTCTGTGACGTCCTGAAGCAGATCAACGAGGACGATCACGATCTGAGGAGCGGGCGCTTCTTCAAGGAGTTCCAGTTCGCAGAGCCCCAGATGGAGGAGATTCTGGTCAACATGACAAGCTGGGACACGTACATGTACACGCGGGACTTCGATGCGCTGAACGAGGACCGCGAGATGCGCCAGGCGACGAAGCTGCTGACATATCCGATCACAATTGCGAGTGTCCTGAACGAGCTGAGTCCCTACAACATCAGGAAGAACGGGCGCATGACACCCGAAGGACTGAAGAGCTTCAGCGGTACGTACAGCCCATCGTGCAGCTGAGATGATACTGACACAACCCCAGCCCTCCGCCACACCCTTCACCCACCCCGAACCGGCGGCGGCGACACCTGGAAGAACGCGCGCCTCGCACCCCCTTCGGTCCGCCTCTTCATCCTCGGCGCCCGCGCAGAATCCTCGCTACCCCGCGAGACCTGGATGCAACTCTCCTACCTCTTCCACCGCGTACAATTCTCGCTCAACTTCATCGGGCCCGAGAGCATGGCGAACCGCGAAAAGGAACTGCCCCTCCCCGAGCGCACGCCTCTAAACCCGTTCGGCGCCGTTGTTGAGGACCGCATTAGCAACTCGCTGAAGATCAGCACGTTCGTCGAGTACTACCACAACATCCACAAGACGGGGTACTTTTACCCCTACGACCCCTACTTCGATTGCTTCGTCGTTTTCCACCCTGGGTTCGGCAATCCGGCCTCCGCGCACGAGTGGGAGGAGACGCTACCCCTCCTCCTCGAGACCAAGGTTCCTATCATCGCGACCGGATACAGCCCGTGGGATATGCAGCAGGATGTCGACTTCCTGAAGAACAGGTTCGGGAATGAGATGGACATGTTGCTCGAGCCTGGCGAGAACTTGTTCAGGAGTCTGAGATGGGATCTCAATGATCTGGACCCGCATGATGTTACGTGCAGTAACTGGGGCGTATACTCTTTCCGTGGTAAGAGGTATGAGACTACGAAGAAGGAGGATGACGAGGAGGTGCATAGTGATCGTACGGCCTGATCACGCGCTCAGCTTGATATGTAGCTATATGTACAGTATTGTGTATCGCGCTCCAGCTGAACCTTGTGGATGGAGACGTGCTACTAATCCTCACTAACATATTGTACCCATGCTGAGGCAGTATCGTTCGCCTCTGATTCGACGTATCGCGCAGCGCAGTCATGCAAGGTTTGTTTGGAGGACTGCACACCATCCAATGGTACAACGACTTTACAATGTACCCCGCGCGCGGCACGGATTCAACGAACGGCCGATCCCAGACGCTATCATGAAATATTGCGCTGGTGATGTCCGATGTCTGCGAGAGGTGCATTATAACATAAACCGAGCTCGCGCATACGTGTGGCGCGACCTTTACCGCGACGCGACAAAAGCGCGGGTCGCGTCCACGCATGCACCAGACTATCAGCCTCACGGCCAGCACAAAGCATTGGCGCCATGGACGGATGAGCAAAACAAAGTGCTGGACAGTATGAACTACAAGCCACCGGCTCGTGACTACTTCGCTGACTTTGACGATTACGATCCTGATGAAGAAGATGACTGGGATATCAGAGATTATAATGACTACGAGGACTGGACGAGAGCACCGTGGCAGGGTCCGCCTTCTTGAAATACTGCGGTGTTAGGCAGCGCATTACATCGAGTTTTAGTTGCCGTCGTCATCAATGAAAAGAAGCCCAAATTATCCTTTGCAGCTAGTCAACTACGGGTTATAAGGCTGGTTTTCGTGGAACAAGTAGCGCATTGTTTGTTGGTCCCGGCACGGGCAAGAGGTATCGGCACTCGCTTTGATGTACATGTCGTGGGTTGGGTTTGCTGTAATGCAACATCGCGAAGCGATTGTGCATGCAATTCGCACGCGTGGACTATCTGATTGGAGGTGGCAGTACGCGAGTGGTTCACCCCGCTTCTATACTAAGCGAACGAAGATGGGAATGAAGAAGAAAGAGTGTTGAAAGTGTTGGGGAAACAGAGACTATCCCACGCGCTCGTCAGCTAAGTCACCGGTCCGACCCCACATTGCTCGCTTCTCCGCACGTCCCCTCGTTGTCCCCGCGCATGCGTACCTAGGTATCACAGCATCCAAGGCTGCGCTGGGAAATCGGCATCGATTCCAGTGCATTCTTGGCATCGTTGGGATAGTCTCGAGCTCCCCAGAACGCTGAGATGTCGATTCGACTAACTGGATCGTCTGCCTTTGTACCGTATAAATAGTAGTAATAACGATACCCTCACAGTTACATCACTCTCAAGTGCAGCACATGAATTGCCTCCAACAAAATGCTCCAGCTTGTTTCAATTATCCTCTTCTTCGCCTTTATCCTTTTGATCGCTGACTACATCCACATACTATGGCGTCGCCGTTATCTCCCTCCAGGCCCCTTCCCATTTCCCATCGTCGGAAACCATTTCCAAACGCCATCGTACAAACCTTGGGTTACATGGGAGAAGTGGGCCCAGCACTACGACTCACCCATGATGACTCTCTGGATCGGGCGGCAACCGCGCATCATATTGAGCGATGCATGGGTCGCGAGTGACTTGCTGGAAAAGAGATCAGACATCTTCTCGAGCAGACCAAGAATCATTGCTATGGGCGATGCAATTAACGCGACGAACACGAATCAAACTACGTTGCCGTATGGCGACCAATGGAGGAAACATCGGAAGCTCATGGTATGTGACCTTGTGTGGTCTCGGTCACTGCAGATCGCTAATAGCGTAGCACATGGCCGTCGGCTCTCAAGCCGTCCGCAAGTACCGTACATTCCAAGCCCATGAATCCTCGATCTTGATCCGCGACTTCTTTCTCGAGCCGCACGACTTCGAGCTCTCAATCGAGCGATACTCCGTATCCATCACTTCGATCGTCGGCTGGGGTCGACGTATCGATCGCAAGAACGACTACGTTGCCCAACAAGCTCTCAAGCTGATGGAAGTCGTTAACTACATCGTCCCCGGTATCTATCTAATGGAAGCCGTTCCGTTTCTGATGCACCTACCAGCTTGGCTCTATGGCTTACCGAGCCAGATGCGACTAGGAGCTGGCATACTGTCGCGCTATTTCTACCTGCTTACGCAGGAAGGCGCCGAAGCGGAGAAGGACAACTTTGGGAAACATGTTATGGCGTCTCAGCAAGCCAGCCACATGACGGATCTCGAAGTTGCGAGCCTGATGGGCAATCTGATCGGTGGTGGAGTAGACACGACTAGCAGCACTATGCTATCGTGCATCCTTGCAATGGCGCGCTTCCCGGAGGTACAAGCGAAAGTCCACGCTGAGTTCGATGCTGTCGTCGGGCATCATCGCGCTCCAAACTGGGAAGACATCGACTCAAATGCACTGCCATACTTGACTGCAGTGGTAAGTTACAGGTATCCCAAATTTGACTCTACATGTAACACACCACAGGTCAAAGAAACCCTCCGATGGAGAACCGTGACTATCCTCGCAGGCATCCCCCACGCCAACACCGTCGATTTCGATTACAAAGGCTACCACTTTCCAGCCGGCACCAACTTCACAGGCAACATGTGGGCCATCCACAGACATCCGCGCGACTTCCCCGACCCGGACAGATTTATGCCCGAGAGATTCCTCGAAGGCGAAGGCAGCGCGAAACAGCCCTATCCGAACAGGTACGGCATGAATCCTTTCGGTTGGGGGCGCAGGCAATGTAGTGGCCAGCCGCTTGCCGAGCAAGGTCTTCTTTACTCGCTTGCGCGTATGATTTGGGCTTTTGAGATTTTGCCGGGCGTTGATGAGAATGTAAGTGTTCCTTAAAACACCCACGTGGACCATTCATGTTTGCGCCGCTGACACATTGCGACAGCAACAGGAAGTCGACTTGGACATCTTCGCATACACCGACAGCGAAAACATGCGACCAGAGCCTTTTCGTGTGCGATTCATTCCTCGCTCGGACGCAATCAGGAAGCTGCTGTTGGACGAGGCTGCAGAAGCGCGTGAGGCGTTGAGGTCATACGATGGGGAGACTAGAGTGACGATGGAGGATGCTGTGAATGACCCAGCGAAGAATTGATAGCAGTTGGTGGTTGGCTCAAATAAGAGTAATTACTCTCTCTTCTGCGAGACGATGCGCTTCGAGAATTTGCTTGACGCCAAAATCCCCGTCAAAACAGAGCAGTCCCACCTTTGCAAACGTATTGTCGCCATGTGCCTGTAAGAACAAAGCTTCGGCGCTATCCTTCTCATACGGCTCTTTCTCTGACCCAGAGTCTGTTTCTTCCTCATTCTCTGAAACGTCGGAAATTCGGTGCATTGCTGAGTCTTGGCTATGGACACAGTGCTGAATGAGTACGACGTAGCCATCCGTACTTGATTGTCTCTCATGCGATTCCTTGTCGATCTTCGCCTTCTCAAGATAGAATACTTCGCAGAACGTTTCAACCTCGCCACGTCGGAATCGGTGTGTCAATTTGCGACTCGCTACGTCTCCGTCTTGATCGAAGAGACGAAGTACCATATCGCGTGACGACCATAGCGCCAGTTCAGTGATGGTCGCTGGCACTGGCTTACACTTTAGCTCGATCGTGGCGGACTCTAGTTCCCCCGATATCTTCCCGGTAACATGCTTCTTCACGCACTCAGCCTCAATTTGGCGGCTTGCATGGCCCCCATGTCGCTTTGTCAATTGGCTGAGTAAGACTGGAGAGTCGGTACAAGCCCAGCTCCATGTGGGAGCCCTCCATTTCGTAGGCCTTGTGTCAGGCTCTGTCAGCGGGAGTTCCCTTTTCTCATCCCAGCAGAGCTCTTCCTCGATATGATCTTCACAAAGGCCAGCGATGAATCGCTCGCCTGTTAATTTAGTAACCCATTCTGTAATACCATGAATCGCTACTAGCTTGTCATTAGGATTCGTTAAAGCGAAGCCCGAATACTGATCCCTGTATGTCAGCCAGGCAAAATAGGTCCCATAACTCATCGACCGATCCATTCCCAATGATCCAAAAGGCTTCGGAGTATCGTTTGCGCTTTGCTCGATAATGCGACTAAGTTCAGCTTTCAGTTTGGTAGCGTCGAATGCCCAAAGCGCTCGCGTCCAGAGCGGTAAGCCATCTGGATATATCTCGCTCGAGTAGTCCTTGCAACATTCCCAGAAGATTTGTGTCTCAGTGAAGTGAAGGATTCGTCTTGACAGTTGTCTCTCTTGGCTTGCCCAAGCTCTCTCGTTCAGTGGCGCGCTCTCGATACCAACTAGAACCCTGTGACTTATATCGCAAAGGTAAGTACCTCTCAATGGGAATTCGACGTCCTTCCGATATCCCCGCCTTCCACGCATTGTGGGCCCAAATTGGATGTTTATACGGTGGGGTAAGAGTGATTCGGGGCATCTTTCAACGAAAAGACCGCACCTGCTATCAACCCCAGCAGTGGCTGCGATAGTGAAGGCAGCGTTTGCGTAGACGCTACCCATCCGACTCGATTCTGATGCCCAATCATCACGGTCATCCTGAAGTATGCAGCTAGATTTGTCAGCTTCGAAATGTTGTAACGCGCGATCGTAGAGTCATACAGTGAGTCGATCCAGAGGTACCGGACGCCCAAGCGACGAGTGACGAGCACAGCATCCTGAAACGTCTTTGGAAGCTCACCAGCGTGAATGCCCGATTGTAATGCCGAACGTGTCGTGGCATTTAGTGTCAGCGGTTTGTATGACCCCCAACAGTGTGACAGACAAGCGTATTCTTCAGTACGAAACGATTGCGTGTCGCGCACTACGATGGGATCAAGTAGCTCGGTCCCGAGATCCAGGAGCCTGGAAGGATAAGAAGCCGACTTGAGAATCTGTGGAATCCTACAACTCGTGTGTAGTCCACGACAACGATGATATTTATCGACGGCGAATGCAAGAGCAGAATCCGCTCCCGTGTTCGACGAAATACTCTCTGCAATTTTTATCTTACTCGAAACTATGTGCAGTTTTAGTATCTGTTGACTAGTGAGGGAAATGCTACTTACTAGGGTATGCTCGAAAAACCAGGGTTTCACTAGTTTGCCTTCTTACGCCATCTTCGCGGAACCAGAAAGTCAATGAGCGATAGTCGTCCCAATCCTCGTTATCGTAGTAATATTCCCCTTGCATTCCCACCTCCCAATTAGATTCAGCATCTGGTCTGAGTGAAGCTCGATGCCAAGCAAGCATACATATCAAGCATCGAAGCTGTATCGCCTTCTGGAAGGATTCGAAACTTTCATGATGGTTGAACTCTACTGTGTTGTAGCCGTCGATGGTGACATTGATATCTCCGCGGATGAATCGTTGACAAGGGTCACAGTACAGGTTGTCCGACATGGTGTAGGCAGTCGCGAAAGAGGATGGATGAGGTCTTCTGCTCTGGAAGAGAGCCAGATAGAACGGTGCTGTTGCGCTGGAGATCTTCCCCGCATGACATCACAAATATTAACCGCTCAGGAAGGTCTATCGGGTGTATGCGCTGCATGCGTGATGCAACTGTGCCACACGGTATTTCGTCCTATTGGTCGGGCGCCCTTCGGTCGACGAAGAAAGGCCGCCGTGCCGCATGAAAGCGTTCCCAGATAGCAGGCATGCTTTAGGAGGGGTGGTAGGTGATAAGGACCGCCGGGAATATCGGTCGCAACCTGTCACCGTCGCACAGTTTGTGTGAAGGCGCGAAAGCGTGGCCCGCCATCAGGCGGCCGATATGCGCAATGCCGCATGCCGCATCGGCTACTTACTCGACGTTCGCAAAGAGTTGGAGAGCAGCTTTGACTAGTGGACTGCCGGTTCGAGCCGACCTTAATAGGGTTATTGTCGTCGCACGCAACATCCTCCGAGTTAATCTCTTCTTACCTCCCACCTCCTCTCAACCGTAATAGCATGCTTCGAATCAGCCACCCTCTGCTCCCCATCATGTTTATAAACCGACGAAACGCGCACAACCTGACATGTCTTGACCGGCTGCAGTTCAATCTGCGAAGAAGCATCGTTGTCATCCACCAACTCCGAGAACGTCGCCGTCGGATCGTTTTGTCTCCTGCTCCCTTTCTTGGAGAAGAGCCTAGTCTTCTTGCTACTGTCGTAGTCGAAACTGGATCGCGTGGCGTTATTTGAGTTGCTGAACAAAGGTCGCATGAGGGGAATGCATGCCAGGACGATTGCGACGGCGGGCTCGAGGCCGGAGAGGATAGTGGCGAGTACACCGGTGTATGTCATGTCTATAAAGTCGAGACCGGGGAGAAGCGTTTGGCGGTATATGGTGATGGCCCAGGTTCTGCGCGACGTCTCAGCATGAGTTCAGTACATCTCGATGGGCGAGAGCGTGTACTCACCCTACTCCAATGCTGAGGAGAGCCATTGCGACCAACTTCCTGCGCCATGCCAGTCGCAGCTTGTACAAGTATGGCATTGGTAATAGGATCATCACGGCGTCTGTGATGAGATTGATGACACCCATTGCAAAGTAGAAGTTTGGTTGACTACCGCAAGTTCCGGGCAAGTTGAAGTTCCAGTTCTTTGCCAGCGGCCGGCATATCGCGAGAGCTGCGATCACATCGGCAGTGTTCCAGGTTATGATGACAGCGCCGAGAATACGGGCCCATTGCACCATGGAATCCATTGGTATCAGTGTCGTGTACATTGAGAGGACCGACAGTTTGCTGAAGCACACGGTTGCATTCCACAGTATCGCAAAGGACATGATTCCCTATGGCATGACATGTTAGAGCTGGCAAATGTGAGAGAAATGTCAGAGGTCTTACCTTGAAGAAGAATGTTGCTGTGTCAGGCCCAAAGCGCTGATAGATATCAAGGGTATGGAAGCCAAAGCCGCCATAGGTGACTAGCGAAATACAACAAGCGTGGAGTGCAGTGTTGCATACCTGGCAGATTTGTTAGCATAGAAATGTGTCGCTTCCCAGTTTTGACCTACTGAGGCGGCAAGAATGCAATAATCGCTGTAATCGATTCGATTGGCGATTCTTTTTGCTGCCAGTCGCAGACCCACAGCGACAATGACCATTAAGATAGAGATGGAGGAAGTCGCGAGGATGCCGACTTGTTGCCCATTCTCGATGGGAATCGTATCGGTCATTGCAATGGGTTCGCGTAGTCAGGTTGTGGCGTGGGAATGCCCGAGCGGCGTGTGGACTCGTTCGAAACAGACGCAGCTGGACCCGACAACGGGGAACGTATGATGAAACGGAAGACATGTACAGCGTTCTTTGCGCCTGTATGCACAGACCTGACCTCAGAGTGTTCCGAAGGAAGTGCTTCCTAGCCGTTATCTGAGATTAGCATCGTCAGAACGGACGTTCTCACATTGGCCCAATGATTAGGGCCCGACGATCAACATCCAACAGCGGCATGCGATATCCTAACGACCAATGCGGGTGATATCGCGTAGTCTGCCTCTGCATGTTACGTATACACAGGAGGACCGTTGCCGCTTAGTCGTGATCCCGTGGGGGCCTATGCAGTTTCCACGATTCGAGGCGCGACATTCGAAAAGAACGGTGGTCAACTCCTGCGCATACTCCCTACAACAATCTTCTGGTCGCCCATGCATTTTAGCTTCGACGCATATCCGATATCTCGAGCTTGCTTGCCCGATGTTGGATGATATGTGTTTGGCGAATAGCGCAACAAGAGCTTGGGAACAGCGCAGGAAAGTGCCCCTCAATAAGCGTTGTCACGGAAGAAGCATTAGCGGCGCGATCCTCTTGTGTGCGAAGGATCGTATCCCCTGTACATTGCTATGTAAAGTCACATCGGAATCGCTCTAGGCCCCACACTTAGCGTGCCCCCACTTCCTGTTCGGTAGCTAGTTAGAAACCGCGCCGCATTGCCAAGCTAGCGCGGATGCGGACAACACGCATTGTCAGCTATTTGTATACATAATCTTAATTATTATTACGTTACTATATTAATAGATTATATCTTATTTTAATCTTAATATTTTCTTATTTAATATTTATTAAGAAGCTCTAGTTATAATAACTTAGTATAGTTATAATCTTAATATTAAGATCTATATATACTATAGTATATATACTAGATTTAAAAATTTTAGTATTTTATAAGTAGAATACTACTTAGTAATAACTATAATAAAATTAGAGCTTCTACTTAGCTAAAGACCTTTATTAATATATAAAAATAAATATATTTATCTAAAACTTACGTCTATCTTTATAGAATAAAAGTATAGCTTTTTTCTAAATATATTTAACGCTTACTTAAGCTAATACTAATAAAGTAGTTAATATAGCGCGTGCTATAGTAATAAATAAAGTAGACATAGCTTTATATAACTTTTAAAAAGTTAGACTATTTATACTAAATAAAGAATAGCTAAAAAAGTAGCTTAAAAATAATTATAAGTACTTTTAGCTTTTTAACTTTATAAATAGAATTCTAATAAAAGTATAAACTATATTAATACTATTTTATAAATATAAAAAAAATATAAAGCTCTTACTAAGCTTATTTATAAGTTTAATAATAGTAAAAAGCTTAATAAAAATAAGTAGCGTTTTATAAACTAGTTAAAAGTATAAGATAGCTAAGTATTTTAAGCTATACTTAAATTTAGAGATAAAGTATTATATTCTTAGATTAGCTCTACTACGTATAACTTGTAATAGTTTAGATTCTTAGAGACTCTAGCCTACATTAGCCTAACGCCTCTACTATATATATTTACCTCTAATAGCTCTTATTATAAGCTTCTTACTATAATTACTTTATTATTTCTACTAATTATTATCTAATCTCTATAAAACTCTTACACGTAATTATAGTTAATAACAAACCTAATAGTAACCTAACACAAAGGTTAGTTACTTCTCTGCCTATTATTATAATATAGTACTACATAATATCTACAAACCTCTAGTTATCTAACACTACTAGTGCGCTTAGCGACAAGCCTGCTATATCTAAACTAGCAGCAATTTCTGCCTCTAAGAACACTAGCGCTTCTACGCTCTAGTTCTTCTTCTTAAAACTAACTATAGCGTTAGCTATACGCTCTAACTAGTTCTAGTTGTAGTTCTACACTACTCTATCTTAGTAAGCCTCTAGCTCTACTTTAGGCTTTAGCTCTATTCTCTAGTTCTAGTTCTAGCTTCTACGCTTCTTAGAACGCTCTAACCTCTATAAGAGTAGCTTACCTAAAGCGCTAGATACCTAGAAGAATAACTTCTAAGTCTAGAACAACTTCTTACGTCTTAGTAACTCTAACAAAGAGCCTAACAACAATAACACTAGAACTATTATCTACTACTATTATAATAACTCTACTAGTTCTACTAGGCCTGCTAAGAGTAGCGCTCTTAAGAATAAGTTTCTTAATATTACTAAGACCTATAGTAGTAGCTCTAATAATAAGCTTTGTTATAGCTTACTTAGTTACCTACTTAAGTATATCTATAGCAGCAGCTTATACGTACTCTTCTTTACTACTTCTACCTTTATCTCTATAGTTACTTCTACTCTAGGTAGATCTACTACTAATAACTAATAGCGTGTATAGAAACGCTCTTAGATACCTAATATTATTAAGAACCTATACTAAATCTACTTCTTTATAGAGAGTGTTGTCTTTAAAGATCTAGAGTAGGTAACTTATAGTAGTAACGCTAACGCTAGTAATAAGCGCGCTACTCTAAACTATCTCTCTATAAATGCGTAAATCTATAAGGTTACTAGCTTTATTATTTCTAAACTAGACTATTCTAATAATAAGTAACCTATTCTAGCTACCTATAAGTATAATAGTAATAGTAAAGCTATTTATATTAGTAACCTTAATTAGATAATAACTAAAGACTCTACTAACTCTAACACTATGTCTAAGCTTTATAACTATGCCTTTAACACTATCTATATACTAAATAAGAATAATAGTAACTTCTAGGCTAAACTAGACGCTATCTTAGAGAATCTAGTTAATAAACGCAACGCTATTTAGTTTTTCTACTAGTAGGCTAAGAAGGCTAGTTAAGTAGCTAACGCTCTATAAGTTTAGGTTACTTAGTCTAATAAATAGTGCACTAACCTTATAGAACAGCTCTACACTACCTATAGTAACGCCTACGCTAGTATCTAGAAGCTAAAGTAGCGCGTTATTAACGCTAAGCGCTGCGCTAACTAATTTAAAAAGTATAAGAATACCTATAAAGCCTTCTATAATTAAGAGTTTACTAGCTACACTAAAGCTTAGAAGAAGAACGCGCGTCTTAATACTTTTCTTACAGCTTAGACTATATAAGCTTCTAATAAGTCTAATAACTTAGACTTAGATTCTAATAATAACTTAGACACTTCTCTTAACGTGCTTTAACTAGGCAGTAACTCTATTAGCTATAGCTACTATAATACTCTCTTGCGCAGCCTAGCTACTATTCTAGTTATATATTACTCTAAATATTCTAAGTCTACTATCTTTAAAGATACTAGTAATATAAAGATAGATAATTACTATAAGTAGAAGCTTAATATACTAAGCTAGTTCTAAGAGTACTCTACTGCGTTTAAAGGTAAGAACGCTTAATAGCTTAACTATATCTATATATAAGTTAGTAGACCTGCCTAGTAAAGTATCTAAAATAGCTAGTACGTTAAAAGTAATAAGTTTACTAATATCTAATAAGTCTAGAACGTTCTAGACTTAGTCTATAGAGTCCTTAACTTCTACTTAACTACTTATACCTTCTATAAATAGAAAGGCTACATAAAACTCTATAAGAATATTAGCGTCTACTTAGCTTAGTTCTACGCTAGCGTTACGCTACTTAAATAGAATAATAAGAAGAAGATTCTAGAGCTCTATAAGAAGCTCCTCTAGAACTAGCGCGCCTATATTAACTATATTATAGATAATAATAAGTTCTCTAAGAACTTTAAGAAGTTTAGTAAGAAGCTATATTATCTTAAGTAGATAAATACAGCGCTACACTCTTTACTAGCTACTAACTACACTACTAGTAGTAGAGGTAGTAGTAGAGGTAGTAATAGAGAAAACTATAACTATAGTAATAATAACGCTGTTACTATAGTCTCTACTACTAACACTAGTAAGCTGCAACTAGTTATTACTAAGGCGTACTCTAGCTATAAGCTTATTAAGACTTAGGTCTTACGTAATATAAACTACTACTATAAGTGTACCTACTATAGCTATAAGTCTAACTTACTAGACGCGCTCTATAAGAACCTTAATAAGCCTACTTCTATAGGTAGGTATAGAGAAGTTCTAGCTACTTTTAATAAGGCTTACTATATTATAGATATTCTTATTCTCTAGGCGTTAGCTTAGATTAATACTACCTAGAGCCTAACTTCTTCTTACTCTACTATAGATAGAAATAACTTAGAAAACAAGTAGTCTCTAGTGTTAGTTACCTCTAGAAACCTTACAAGTATAAGCCTATTAATAAAAATACTCTAACATTTTATATTTCTTCTACTATACCTACTATACCTCTATCTTCTTCTGTTTAAGACTATAAAGATAAGAATCTAGACTCTACACTATAAGCTATTATTAACTATATTAAGGTCTTAGAGAAATAGCTAGTGCCTAGAATCTATGTCTCTACTATTATAGCTACTACT